TCTGTACTCAGACAATATAAAGGCACAATAGAAACTACTCAAAATAATGAGTACTTGAATTGATTCTTTAGGATGTAAATATATATCATATATCCACCTATATCATAAATATACAAATATATACATATATATTTGACTGTATTTGACAATGACTATTTTCAAAAATAGTGCCTAGTAACTTAAAGAGATAGGCCCACTGAAATTCAATACCAGGTGAAAATACTCATTTAATATGATAGCAAGTCTATTCATATTCAAAGAATTTGAAAAAGGAAGGAAATTATTAATTGACTCCTACTAAAGAATATATTTATGAGTCTTCTAAAGATGAAACCCTTTTTCTAGATGACAACAAAGATGTACAGAAAGAAAGATGAATTGCATAAAATAAATTATGTGGCTATATCTATCTGTATATTGACTTGATAAAAAGATTAATGGTAAAGTTTCAAATTTTAAAATAAATGCTTGTATTAGAATTCAAGGGAGCAAATATAGCCTAATCAGTTAATCAAAGTAGATGGTATGGCTACTTTTGTAAGAGTGAAGAAGTACTAAATGGTTAGACTATACTGAGTAAGGAATTTACTATGTAAAATGTATACCACTAATAAAAGAATATTTAAAGACCTGAATAAACATTTCTCCAAATAGGACGCAGAGAAGGCCCACAGACATACAGAAAAATGCTCAACATCACTAATCATCAAAGGCAAATTAAAACTACAATAAGATATCACCTCTCACCTTACAGAATGACCACCATCAATAAATAAAAAAACAGACATTGGCAAGAATGTAGAGAAAAGGAAACCCCCATGCACTGTTGGTGAGAACGCAGTCTGGAATAGCCACAGTGGAAAAACATGGAATATTTTGGGTCGACTCAGAGATTCCACCTCTGGATATAAATCCTAAGGATCCCAAAACATGAATACAAAGGAATATATGCCCTTCTATATTCATAACAGTGCTATTTATAATACCCAATATCTGGAAACAACCTAAGTGCCCATCAGAAGATAAGTAGATGAAAAGGCCATGGTACATTTACAAAATGGAACACTACACCACAGACAAAAAAGAAAAAAGAATTTGTACCTTTTGCTGCAGCATGAGTGGACCTGGAGAAGATTATGCTAAATGAATTAAGCCAGTCAGTGAAAGACGAAGACCACGTAATCTCACTTTTATGTGGAATCTAATGAAAACAATAAGCTAATGAACAAAATAAAGCAGAAGCATAGATACTTGGAACATACAGATGACAGGGTAGAGGAGAATAAGATGGAAGAGGGTGAGGGATTAATCAAAGAATATTTATGCAAAACCCATGGACACAGACAACATTATGGTGATTGAGTTAGGGAGAGGGGAGAGGGTGGGGCTGGGTGGAGGTGGGGAAAATGACAAAAATTGGGAAAAACTATAATAGCGTAAACAATAAAAAGAAATAGTACTTTGTTGATAAAAATAAAGCACCTTGAATTTTAGAAAATGTATAAAATAGAAATATTTATGGTGAAAGACAAGAAAACAAAGAACAGGTAGAGTTGAAATGAATTGTAGTGTTCATTCCTATTAAATGATATCCATATACTACTTAATAATTAATTATAGAAATAATTTACACATCTGAATAAAATATACAAGCAACACATAGTAATTTGATAATTATATAAAATATTAATAAAATAATTCTTATTTAAATTCCAAGATGTTTATATTTAAAATACCTGTTTGCATCTTAAGGAGACACTTCTTTATCTTAAACAGAAAGACACATGTGAGTATAAAGATGAAAACTTACTCACACAACACAAACCAGTAGGAAACGGCTATAGTTAATGTCCTGTCACATCACAAGGCAAGAATCATTATTGGAAACTATGAAATATGTTTCATAAAGCCAAATTGCATGGCCAAACCAATAGAAATGTTTTTATTTTTAATCTGTGTGGACCTAATAATGTAAATCAACATGTATAAAAAGTGAAGTAAATAATCTGAAGTGGAAATGGAAATGTTTTTCTCTCACAGCTTATCGAAGGAGCAGGTATATCAGAAATACTAGAGAAGTTTTAGACAATTAACTATAAAGCCCACACAAGAGTAGTATAAAATACTCCCTTTTGTAAGGTACAGAGCTGTGGTGTCACTGCAGTAACCCCTCATCAAGCTCGCCAAGGGAGCACATGAAGAGTGGGTACTCAAATATAAATTTTAAATAAAAATAAACATAAATTTAGATAGGTTTCTCTGTCACACTAGTCACATTTAAAAAGAGTTGTAGAGCATTTGCTGCTTCACAAAACATTTTCCAACAAGAGTTCACCAAAAATAAAAATCAATAATGCAAAATTTTTAACTTCTTCTATAGTTTTAAATTCAATAATAAATTTCTTAATAACACATGGGCCAAAGAAGTGATCATAATGAAAAAATCACAATATTTTTATGAATTAATTTAAAATATTATAGCAAAAGTCTGCTGAAATATTGTCTCAGTTTTACATCTTACCAAAAAAAAGGAAAAATTCCAAGCATGCACCTCAATAAACTAAAATTGGAAAAGCTAAACTTATGTGAAATTTATTCAAAATGAAGATGGAAAACACAAAAATATACAAAACAAGAAAGAAACAAAATTATTGTAGAGAGGATCAAAAAGGTCAAAGTTATTCTCCTTAAAAATAATAGAATTGACAAATGACTGCTGAAAAAAATTTAAGAAAACAAAAATCTTTATATCTAGAATAAAGATCAGAATAGCATTACCATATTTACACATATTAAGCAGATAATAAAGTTATATTATGATACATTTTAATATCTATATTAAAAAAAAATTTTGAAAATGCAGTTCAACAAATAGAAACCTCAGTAAACCTAACATGTTTTACAGGAATTGAGTTCATTTTTAAACTTTCCTACAAAAGCATTCTTCAAGCTTTGACAGCATTAGTAGTGAAAAATACCTTGAAAAATAGAACAGTACTGGAGATTATTTTCCAAAGTGAAATAAGCCAGTCAGAAAAAGACAAATATCATATGGTCTGACTTACATTTTGCATCTGAAGAACAGAATAAGCTAATGAACAAAATAAAATAGAGGTCCGGATACAGGGAACAGACTGACAGCTGACAGAGGGGGAGGGTGGTGGAGGGGCTGGATGAACAAAAGTGAAGGGATCAGCCACAGAACATTTGCACATGATCCTTGGCAGATAACAGTGTGGTGATGGCCAGAGGGAATGGGGGGCAGAGGCTGAACGAGATGGGCAAAGGGGGTAGGATGGAGACATCTGTAATAGTGTAAACAATACAAATAAAGTTAAGAAAAGAAGAAAATAATAAAAACAATGAACAACTTTAAAACTATATGACAGTACTTTTATACAAGGACTTCCAGGAAACAGAAAAAGAGGAATGCTTTCCAATGTATCCTTGATATTAAAACCTGTCAAGAACATAACAAATAAAAACTGATTCTGAACTCCTTGTGAACAATGATAAAAAAGCAACTTAATCTAAGTGTAGTATATGTACTGAAATTTATTTATTTTGTAAAGATTTTATTTATTTATATTTAGAGTGAGGGGAAGGGAAGGAGAAAGAGAGAGAAACATCTATGTGTGGTTGCCTCTTATGCACCGCTAACTGGGGACCTGGCCGGCAACCCAGGCATGTGCCATAGACTGGGAATCAATCTGATGACCCTTTGGTTGGCAGGCCAGTGGTCAATCTACTGAGCCACACAAGCCTGCACTGAATTTTAAAGGACAGTACAAAACTATTCTTGTGGTTTTATTTTAGAAATGCAACATTGGTTTAACATTCGAAAGAAATAAAGATAGTTTACTTCATAAACAAAATACAGAGAAAACATTTATCATTCCAAATGATAGAAAAATAGTACAAATGTTGTATCAATCAGTTATAAAATCTATTAAAAATAGCGATATTATGGAATTGCTTTAATATGTGAAAGATATAATAAAAATACTTTAAAACAAACCTCATACTTAGGGATGAAATATTTAAATATTTTCCCCTAAAATAAAGAAGGATACATATAGAACTTTTATTGTCTACATTATCCAACATTGGAAACAAACCTTTAACCTGTGGATATAAGTCAAGAAAACAAATAATTATACCAATGAAAAAGAAATAAAATATCTGTTTATATAAACTCTTCAAAAGAATATATGATTGAAACACTAGAATTAATACATAAAAATCAACAAATACTTCAACTGTATTTCTGTTTAAGGCAGCAAAAATTACTAAAGTAAATTTTAATAAGTATACCATTTAGACAATCATGATTATGAAATACTTGTATTCATATTTCTTTAAGACTTCAATATAGAAAAATTTAAGAAATAGGAAAGAAATTAAAGAAAACCTAATATATGGAATGATAAATCATGATTTGATTGGAAGAATCAATATTGTAAAATGACTAAACTTTATAAATTACTTAAAGTTTAAATGCAATCCCAAACCTAACCCCAAGTGTTTTTTTTAAGTCTTACTGAGGTGTAATTTACAAAGCATAAAATTCATACACTTAGACTGTGAATATCAGTGATTTTAAGTATATTCTTGGAGTCCTGCAGCTATCACCATTATCAAAATTTGGAAAATTTTCAGCCTTCAAAAGAAGCAGTGAACCTATTAGCAGTCATTCTCTATTCTCACATACCCTCAGACCTCTGTGGGTTTGCCTATAGATATTTCATTTAAATTGACTCACACAACATATGATCTTTTAGAAAAGTTGAATATCACAAATATAATGTTGAGCAAAAAATGCCAGACTCTAGAAGAACAATACCTGTACCTTTGGGTATGTATATTATTTTCCAATAATGGTTATAGAATTTTTTCACTATTAGAACTAATTTTTCATTTGAAGACTTATGCAATCATAGTATTATTTCCATTTCATGACAATAGTTACCCTGCAGAATCCAAATTCAAGTGGTTTAACACTAAAATTTATGCTTGCAAATATATATTTTTGGAGATTCACAACAACTTGATGTGAGGCCAAATGGGAGTAGCATAACACAGTTACTGTTATCAGAAGATGAATCTTCTATCCTGTAATAGAGAAAAATGCATAATTTTATCCATACATTGTATGAGAGCAATCCATGAGACAACAAATAGCATTTTCTATGAAAATGTAATAGGAGAATGTTTTACCAATAGGTAGTGATATTTTCCATATAATATAGTAAGAGCTGTTATTAAGAAAATATTTACATCAACATTTCATTAACTTTGAACATCATTCTTATAATTCAAATTAAACAAATGTATTAATAAAACTCTTCTGAATTGTTCTCTTTTATGCTTTCCTTTTATATAGCACTGAAAAAAAGGAAAAACTCACTCTAGTGTGGGAGTTGACCCATGTATCGACACCCATGGATGATCACTGCTTCTACGAAAAACTCCAATCCATGATGAATGTGATATGGAGCTCAGAAATTTCTACCCCAAAATAAATAAACAAATTATTTAAATAATCATTATGAAAGTTTGCATTATATTTTTTAAGATGCAAGTAATGTATTGTTTCATAGAATCCTTCATTTAGAGAACAAAATGAGGGTGTTGGATCCTGATCTAACACAGAAGATATATTAAGACTCTTATTACGGATATATTAAAATCAATTTTCATAGTGTCAAAAATTTCCAGCAACATTTAATACACTTGATTTAAAATCAACTCTTAAAGATTTATGCATCATAGTTTCTTTTTTTCTCTTAGGTTAATAAGGAAAATTCTGCTAGATATCTTTTAGTTGTTATTCATGTTGACAAATCTAGCATAGCAAGGCTTTAAATAAGTTTCTGACCACTTACAAAATGTATTTGACACCATAACTAAATCAATATAGTTTTCTACTCTTTCTCAGAGATCTGCTTTTTAAAAAATAAGGGGGTTGAAATGAAGAAGGTAAAAGGGTGGATGGTGGCATAGGTCAATACGGCTTGCCTCCTCACACAACCATGTAAAAATTACAACTAGATTACAGAAAACCCATTACTCAGAACCATCAGAAATCAACTTGAATGGAAGCCTGACAACTATGAAATTAAAGAAACCACATCCATCCAGACAGGTAGGAGGGGTGGAGTTGCAGAATGGACTGGTGCCACATCCACGTGTGGTGGATAAAAACTCGGGAGGGATACCTCAGGAGTGAGGAGTCTCAGATCCACACCAGGCCCCCCAGGTAAAGGTAAGTCCCCATAACTTCTGGTTTCCAAAACCAGTAGGAATTGGGTCAGGGGAGAAACTCCTGGAGTCCCAAGCAGTTCCCCTTAAAGAGCCCACAAATGAACTTACTCAAATTCACTGCCATGAACTCCTGTACTGGGGTAGCAGCTTGAAAGGCACCAGGGGCATATAGGGAGGGACTGATGTCTAGCATCAAGGCAAGTGCTGGGGGACAGCTTTCTCCCAGGCAGGAAAGTGGGCAAAGCCACAGAGCCAGCAGGTGGGTGCGATATCCAAGACTCCATCAACCTAGCTAATAATATTTGCTCAGCCCTGGAGGTCATCTGAACTTTGTCCCACCCAACTTACTGCTATTAACATTGGCTTTTCCATATGAACGGCTGGTCTTGGCTCATGCTTCACAACTTCCTAAATCCTTTCATACAAGCAACAGCTGGCCTTGGTCAGCCCCCAGCTACTCCCTTTCTCCCTGTATCATACTTATTCCCAAGTAGCCCCAGGGACTGCACTAACAGCAACCTGCCTAGATTCAAGCTTAGGTTTGCCAGGGAATCTCCAGTCCCAGCTTGGATAGCAGCCCTATAGCTCAGATTGCCCTATAGCTCAGGCATGGTAGCCCCAGGCAGAGCAGAGGTGGGGACTGACCTTTGCCTCTACCACCTGGGAAACCCCAAGACCTGGGCATCCAGTGGACAGCTACAGACCACATCGGGACACCACCAACCTGTCCTGCTCAAGCTGATCCTCCACAAAAGGCAGAGTTTGGTGGTCAGTGGTCATAACCAGTCTTTGCAACTGACTGGCCTGGGTAAATCCTTCCCATTGACCTGCCAAGAGCACCCAAGTTCCAACTACAAGAGGTGGCTGTATTCAGTCCACACAAAGTGAGCACTTCAAGTGCCCATCTTGGTTGATGGAGCACCTGGTTGGGGAGGCTGTGCCACTGGGGACTCTAGAAGACACCTATTACATAAGGTCACTCTACCAAGGCATGGAGTCCAAGCATCCTAACCTAACACATAGAAACAAACACAAGGAGTCTGCTAAAATGCAGAGATAAAGAAACTAGGCCCAAATGAAAGAAAAGACCAAAACTCCAGAAAAAGAATGAAATGGAGATAAGCAATCTATCAGATGCAGAGTTCAAAACACTGGTTATAAGGATGCTCAAGGAATGCAGTGAGGACCTCAACAGCATAAATAGATCCAGTCAGTAATGAAGTATATATAATTGTAATAAAGAACAATTTAGAGGAAAATAACAGTAGAGTAGATGAAGCCAAGAATCAAATCAATGACTTCAAACATAACAAAGAATACAGAGCAACAATAAGAAAAAAGAATCCAAAAAAAATGAGGATAGTTAAGCAGCCTGTGATACAACTTCAAGCAATCCAACATCCACATCATAAGGGTGCCAGATGAAGAAGAGAAAGAACAAGAAATCAGAAATCTATCTGAAAAAATAATGAAAGAAACCTCCCCTAATTTGGTGAAGAAAATAGACATGCAAGTCCCAATTATGATGGATGCAAAGAGGCCCACTCCCAGACATGTCTTAATTAAAATGCCAAAAGTTAAATATCAAGAGAGGATCTCAAGAGTGGCAAGAAAAAAACAGTTAATTACTTACAGGGAAGTACCCGTAAGACTGTGAGCAAACTTCTCAAAAGAAACTTTGCAGTCTAGAGGGGATTGGCAAGAAATATTCAAAGTGATGAAAAACAGACACCTAAAGCCAAGATTGCTTTACCCAGCAAAGGTATCATTTACAATGGAAGGGCAGATACATAACTTCCCAGACAAGAGAAAACTAAGAGCTCATCATCACCAAACCAATATTATGTGCAACGTTAAAGGGACTTATTTAAGCAAAAGAAGATCAAAACTATGAACAATAAAGTGACAAAAAATATATATCTACCATAACTGAATCGGGGAAACAAACTAAGCAAATAAGAATAGCAGAGACAGAATTTTTGTTATGGAGAGCATTTTGATTGTTGCCAGATGGGAGGGTGGTTTAGGGGAATGGTAGAACAGGAGAGGGGTTTAAGAAATACAAATTAGTAGGTACAGAATAGCTATGGGAATGTAAAGTACAGTATAGGAAAAGGAGTAGACAAAGAATTTATATGCATAACCCATGGAATAAACAATGGTGGAGGGACTGCCTGAGGTAGTGGTGGGGACCGGGTGGAGGGAAGCAAAAGGCAGAAAATAGGGATAACTGTAATAGCATAATCAATAAAATATAATTGAAAAAGAAAATAAAGAACTAAGGCTAAAATAACTGTTTTGGGGGGCCCTGCATCATTCTTTAATGAGAGGAACCCTGAATTGTTTTGTTTTTGTGTTGGTAGAATCTACTGGTCCAGGTATGGTGTCAGAGACTCATTTTTCTGATGACTAAAATTATAAATTATGAAACTAATGAAAAATACAACTCAAAGAGAACCCTGAAAGATGGAAAGAAACAGGAAAATAATTTTGTACACCAGGATTAAGGAAAAACAGAGTGACAGAGTATCTTTATATCCCTACCCAACTGAAAGTGACTTAGGCCTGATGCTTCCATATCCTACCCAGCAATAGGAGGTGTTCAAGGAAGCCATTCCTCCTCTGCCGTGCAGAGGGAATCCTGCCCAGCAACACCAGGCAGGTCTACAAGGTGATCCATCAAGACTCCTGCTAACAAAAACAGTGAGAGCAATGCTTCTCCTTTCCCTAAGAGAAACCAGGGTAGGTGGGTTGGGGGTGGGACCAGAAAAGGGGATTTTATGACTACAAGTAATGGACCCAGCAAGTCTCTCTATCCCTGAGGGCATGAGACTCACATCCCCAATGAAAGACATCAGATAGATGGATTTTTAAATGTTACATTCACATAACCCAGCAGTGACAATTAAAAAACAACAGATAAATGCGATATAGATAAAAGTCAACAATAGTATATGGGAGTTAAAAGAGACAGGAAGAAAAATGCATACTCTATGATTTTATTTATATGAGGTTCAGAAATAAGCAAAGAGATTGTACAGTATTAAAAGTCAGCCCAGTGGGTAAGTGGCGAGGGAGGAGAAGGGGTGAGAGAATGAAGACACAGGAGCAGGGCTCGGGGGACCGCCAGCTCCATCCTGTGACATGATCTGTCATCACACAGTTCGATCCCCTGCATCATCAACCTGCTCAGTTATTCCTTGATATAAGGTAAAATTAAATATCAAAGTTTATTTTAGAAACCAAGAATATATAGAATCATCGTTTTCTGTGAAGAGCAATATGCATCATTGGTATACAATATAACAAAATATTATAAATTCAAACAATGGAATAGTCTAAGATTTTAGCTACAAATGTGTACAAAAATATGGATGAATTTTGTCAATATAATCTTGACTGAAATAAGCCATTAATAAAGTGTATGAAATGTTTGCTATCTTACCCTTTCTTCTTCATCACTTATATAGAGCAGGCTGGAGTTCTTAGAAGCACAGGCTTTCAAACTCTCATTCCATGCCTTCTTTTCAGTGCTAATGTAATAGCAGTTGTTGGAATATGTAAACCACTCTGGTGGACAAGGACCACAAGGATATGCTGAAGAAAGGTGATGAATTATTATCCAATAACAACTTGAAGTTTAAAAATGAAAATTAACTTACATAATTGCAAAAATATAAACATATATGTGCATAATATATCTGTGTGTCATCACAGGCTCATAGATATAAAGCAAAACACACTCATACACACACACCCAGAAGAGGCACCTGCTCATCCCCTAATTTATGTGCCCATATAAAGCAAACACACAATTATCCACTCTGTACCTGTCCAAGTGTCAATGAATATAACCACTTCTTAAGAACAGTAAAATTTATCTTCTCATATTATAACAGTGGGAAGTTTGAGCCAATAAGCAAAGATGGGTATGGAAATTTTAAATGAATATTTCTCTATAGAGTTGCATAAGAAAGAACACTTGTCTATAAATATTAGTTTGAAAAGTTATAGCCCATTTTATAATTCATCTTCCCCCCAAAATTCTGTTATCATTTATGCCCAGCCTAAGATAAAGACAAAAATATAAACTGTGCTAATACAAGAACTTTGAAAATTATGTACCTGTCTGGGTCTTTTTTACCAGGGAAGAATTGTTCTGTTTCATGCTTGGAGTAGCTACAAAAATTAAGATAATTCTTAAAAATTTATCTAAACAAATCATGATACTTTGAAATATACTATATTGTTTAGGGTTAGAATAATGTGAAATAAAATATATTTTATCAAGAAAAGTTAATAAAGTAATAACCATTCAGGGAGAAATATATTAAATGTCTATAGGAACAAACTTCATTATCTCTTAACATTATTTTGTTTAACCAATCTTAAAATGAATTTGTATTTCTAAGAACGTCTTCTAGTCTTTGAAATCATGTGTTTGAGTTATTAAATCAGAATATATGAATGTATCTAAAATACTCTCTACATTCATTATTAGTGATGCATTTAACAAATTCAAAATAATTCAAAATAGTCTAAATGCACACTTTAAAACGAAAGTTCCAAAATATTTCAAAATGTTTAGAGGCACTGATGAATCTTAAAATAAGAAGTTCCATATACTCTTACAAAAATGTACTTACACTGAATAACACGTATCATTACCACAGCGGACATCAGGACAAGGCAGAGGACCCCAAGGATCCTAGCAATGAGCCTCCCTGGAGGTGATGAGGAATCTGCAAGGAAAGGAAATGAAACACTAAGAAAAGAGAGATGAAGAAAATGTTTTATACAGTGTATACAGAGAGAACTCCCAAGCACAGGTAACCATGTAAATAAACTTGGCCCCCCAAACCTATATCTACCATTGTAATCTTCCTCTTAGAATATATCATTGCATTTTCAATAAATATAATACCTCATGATATACTGGTTGAAGACTAAAACTTACAACAATGTCTGAATAAAATTAGGCCTGAACTTTCATCTTAGAATATTATATTCCAATTTCAAATTCTGATCCTTAAGATGAAAAATATGTGAATTTATTCCTCATTCTTTCCCACACCTCTGCACCCAAGTTGCACATCCTAGAACAGTTATACTGTGTGTCTATTAAATGTGTTACCTTTGTAGTGGTCATTCTTGCCATTCCCTTGAAGATCCTGAGAAACATTCTGAAGAATTAATTCTGCATAGGTTATTTCCTGCCCGATTACTGAAATGGAGCCTTTGGTATCCTTAGATTTAATTTGCTGTCTCTTTGAGTCCTTAACCAGATTCAGTTCTGCGTAGGTTACTCTTTGGTCACTCATCTCTGTGGCTGAGTGGTGGCTGAGACTGTGCTCTGAGTGAAGTGTACTGCAGACTAAATAGTACGTGCACTGAAGAGATGCCTCACAGGAACACTGGCTAGGGTAGAGTGTGAGTATCAGGCTCACTTCCCATTTGAGGAATCTAATGTTCTAGTTCTAAATTCCTTACAGATTTAAACAAGTGTCTTATGGTAAAATACATTTTTTAAATATACTCTACATTTGTTGATATATTATTTGTTGGAGCAATAAAAAGACATAATTAGGAATATAGAAGTACATGGATAATAATATCCTCTCTAAAGTCAGATCTCACAAAAATATTTTGACAGCATTAGAATGTCTTTTAGAAATTAAATGTTTTATTAGAAAGAAAAAAATATTTATGAGAATTTTGAAATCCAGTAGTAAAGACTAAGTGTTTTAATGATGAAAAATAGCAGTATTGGCATACACGTTAATTTCCTGCACTAAATTATATTTATTTAGTGACTTACATTTGTTGGTTAAAGTAATTACCAAAAGGTTTATTATTTTGAATGCTTGACAAGTTCTGAGAATTAAGTAAAAATTTAAAGAAATTTTATTTGTTGGAAAATGTTACATGACACACTACACTTATCTGTAACCTAAAAAAAATGAAAAAAACCCAAAAAGGATTTAAAAATAATTGTTTCACAAATCTAATTGACAATTGATTTATCTATATGTTTGAACCATAAGATGATGAAGTACAGGTCTTTTATGGAGGAGCATTGTCGGTTTAAACTTTCAGAAAGGTCCTTTTGTTGTCAAAGTCAGTGAAAATCACTTTTGTTGTTTAAGTAATTACAATAAACCAAATGATAAAATTTAATGGTTCAGTCAATGACTCTGTATTCAGAGAAACAGGATTTAATTCTGGGTTTGAAACTTACAATGTATGATTTTTAAAAATTTACTTAGTGTCAAGTAACCTACTTCACTAATGTAAAGTGAAAATTATATGTAAGACTATTGCATGTAAAATTTAGCACTCCACTTGACACACAAACTTTCAAATATGTTAATTACCTCAGTTATTATTTCAGTCACAACTTCCATGTGACTATTTCTGATTCAGTTATATTCTGTAAAATAGTTGAATAATCAGGAGTGTTTCTCATCAGTAATTTAGATATTTTGTTAACTTTGTTCAAATTTTTAAAAGTACTTGATTGTTTAACTTAACATTTTACAGAAACTATCTCATGCTGATTTTTAGTAAAAATCAGGCTGCTTTTATTCAACTTGAGAAAGTATATAAGGAATTGTGTTTGTTCTTTATTATGAAATGACTTATTTTTTAAACATCAATTTTAAAAGATTGGGCAAAATATAAATTAACATATTACTATACAAAAAACACACCTTGTGCTGATTATAAAAATCCAAAATGAATTATTCCTTTCCATGATCGTGGGTTCAACTTTAAATTATTTTGATTTACAAACCCAGTTATGAATGTGTACATGCATTTGATTAATTTCTTACAGGCTAGAATTTGAATGTTCTAAGAAATCTTTCAAAATATTTCATATTTTATGTTTGGTTTTTACCCTGAATTATTCAAATAAAAGCACTAATGTTCCACTTGATTTTGCTGTATATTAATTGACCTTCAGTTGCATCACATGTAGACTTTATTTCTCCCACTGTAAGAGATGGGCTAGTAGAGAGACAGGAGAGCAGTGACACATACCTTCTGTCAGCCAGAAAGTCGTGCATCCTTTAGTGGGAAAGCCAGGTGGCTCTCATGAAAGGGGCCTTCTATAGATGGGTAATAAAACGAGAACTTTAAAAACATAAATTCAGGACCAAAATTAACAGTATCTGTTACCTTCACAGACTGCCCTGTGAAGGCTCAGAGTGAAACAACAGAGAAAAAAAGTACCTCATCTATGTATTGCTTAAGGTTTGAACAGGAAGTCCTCATACAAAACTGAAGTCAGTTGATCTCATCACACACCTCCAGAATACATGAGACTTTGGGGTCCCCCTGAAGGGACAAATACACCTCTAAGTGTGTCACTTACAAATGCCTCTGAGAAATTGTTTTCATATCATAAAAGATAGGAGACACCCTCCCCTCAGTGTTGCCTAGGTCCTCCCAGGCATCCTCTTTATTCACCAGAGATGATGACTCACAGCCTTCTGACTCATCAGTGTCCATGTTCACGAACCTCCTACAACCTGGCCACTCAGTCCCTTTGCCTCCTCATCTCCAGGTGACTTCTGCACTGTGCCTTAGCCGGCCACTCCCATGGGAACACCTTGGTCTTTGTCATATGTTTAAATGTCTCATCACAAAACTGTCTTTTTTACTTAATTTATTGGGGTGACATTGGTTAAGAGGACTACGTAGGTTTCAAGTGTAGATTTCTATGATACATCATCTGTACATTGCATTGTGTGCCCCCCACCCAAACTCAAATCATCTTCTGTCACCATATATTTGGTCCCCTTTGTCCTTTACTTCCCCTACTCCACTACCTTCTGGTAACCACCATATTGTTATCTGTGTTTACAAGTTTCAGTTTTATATCCCAGATATGATTTCACTCAAAATTGTCTTAATATATGACCCTCACTCTCTACAAATTCCCTAACCTTTGTACCTTAGTGGTTCATCTCTTTCAGACATGAACATAGAATTAGCCTCTCGGATGGTGTTACCCTCTCCAGTGTTGTCTCCAACTCCATTCTGCTCTAATGTGTCAGTCTGCTTCTTCCCTCACCTTTCTCCAGATCTGGCCTGATTCCATAATAGCTTTCACTTCTGCCAATACACTAACTCCCTTGAACTTCTTTTGGTCCCAATATTCAACACTACCATTATCTTATAAATGAAATTAATTACCTATTTCTCTCTTTCAATGTCTGAGAAGCCAAGTGCTTTTAAACAGGTCAGATTTATTACAATATAAATTCATTGTCATTAACATGAAATTGCTTTAGATGTCTGGTTAAGATGGCAGAATAAGTAAATGTGGTACTCAAACCCTCCCACAACTACATCAAAATTACAACTAAACTACATAACAACCATCATTTAGACCCACCTAAAATGTAGCTTAATGGAAATCCTACAATAAGAGATTTAAAGAAGAAGCCACATCAAGACTAGAAGGAAGGAGGGAATGCAGAACAGGCTAGTCCCATAACCATGTGTGTCAGATAAAAATTAGGAGGGATCTCGGCTGTGGAAATCCCCCTTCAGGAGCAAAGTGTCCCTGTCCCTCACCAGGCCTCTTAGCCCAGGGCTCCACTGACAGAGAAGAAGTCCCCATATTTATGGCTGTAAAAACCAGCAAACAAGCTGAGATTGTGCCCAAGAAAGACAGAGGACTCCTGAAGTTTCAGGCAGTCTTTCTTAAAGGCCCAGTGTATGATTTTGCTTGGACTCACTCCCTCTGAGCTCAGCACTGAAGCAGCAGCTTGAAAAGAACCTGGGACCTGTAGGAAGGAACTGAATTTTCTGGCATAAGGGCAAGAGATGGGAAGGCAGCTTTCTGCCAGACAAAGTGCTCGCAGAAGCCATGTTTTCTCCTGAGACACTCCATACATAAACAGAGCTGGGAGGCAGGAGCCTGAGTCTCCATCAACCTGGCTTACCCTGTTCTCCCAGACCTGAAGATTCCTGATACCCCTTCCCACCCAACTTGTAAGCCCATCCAAGCCATTTCCAGTGGCATTCCATGCAAATGACCTCTCTTGTCTCTTGCTTTGGAGTTTTGTAAAATCTCTCAAACAAGCAGCATTTGACCTCTGTGTACCCTGTACCTCTTGCTAAGTGGCCCCAGGACCAGCACTAATAGCAATCATCCTTCATTCTTATCGTGGCTTCCTCTTGGCATCTCCAAGCCCAATATAAGGAATGGCTATCTTCAGATCACTCTTAGGTCATGCTTGGAGGTCCCAGGCAGACAGAGGAAGTGGCTGACCTTGCACCTTCTGGGAGGCCCCAGAACCAGTGTACCAAGAAGACAGCTTGAGACCTCATGGGATTACAACCCTACCACCCTCATGAGCCACACACTCAAGGGGAAGACTGGGTAAGCATCAAAGTCCTAATGAACCAAGTCTTGCTCAGTACACTAACTCCCTTGACTCCCTATGCACAACAGCTCCTCCACAGTAGTTGTAACTAGTTCTCACAGCCAATTGGCCTGGGGTCAGTCCCTCCCCATAATACGAACAGAAATCAAGACTCACCTATAACAGGATGGTGCACATAGCCCACACAGGTACGTACCTGCAGCACCCAGTTCAGGTGACTAAGGAGGCTGCACCAGTGAGGACACCAAGTACACAAAGCAATTCTACCAAGTCAGGGAGATGTAACAGCTCTACCTATTATATAGAAACAAATATAGGGAAGCAACTAAAAATAGAGACAAAGACACATATCCCAAATGAAAGAGCAGGAGAATTCTCCAGAAAAAAATAACTAAATGAAATGGAGGCAAGCATACGACCAGACACAGAGTTCAAAACAGTGGTTATAAGATACTCAATGAACTTAGTGAGAACTTCAAGGAACTAATTGAGAACTTCATCAGCAACCATAAAAAAAAGCCAGTGAGAAATGAAGGATACACTAATTGAAATGAAAAATAATTTATAGGGAAATAATAGAAGAGAAGATGAGCTGAAAATCAAATGAGTGATTTGGAATACAAGAAAGCTAAAAACACCCAATCAGCAAAAAGTTAAAAGAATCCAAAAACGAAGATAGTATAGGAAGCTCCTGGGACAACTTTAAGTGTACTGACATTTGCATCATGGCAGTGCCATAAAGAGGAGGGGAGAAAGAAAGAAATTGAAAATCTATTTGAAAAAATAATGACAAAACTTCCCTAACCTGGTGCATGAAGTATATATACAAGTCGAGGAAGCACAGAGAACTGCAAACAAGAAGAACCCAAAGAGGCCCACACCACGACACATCATAATTAAAATGAAAACAGTTAAGACAAAGA